GGCGTTGTAGCGCGCTACTCAAGTACACAGAAAAGTATGAACATTGACATTTATTAGGTCACGCTCATCCGATATAAGTCCGCGCGTTATTATCCAGCGTACTTTCTTGTGTTTGAATGAACGTTGCAAAGTGTCGAGCTGTGAACGTTGTTAGTGCGCTCGTCGTGTGTGCGTTTTGGGTACGTCTTTTTCGCTTCAGCTACACGATACAAGTATTTAACTGGAAGCCGTTCTTATTGTGAGATTCTAATTGGTAGCTGTCTCGATCAGTGCTGAGCGCTAGAGGAGAAACTGTCACCACTCTAAATTCGTGGTACACAGCTTCAAAAACACTCGCCTGACATGGTGGACGTGGTCGGCTATGGTGGCAAGGTGTTTGTGTGTATTCTGTTTTGCTCTAATCTAAGTGGATGGCTGTGGAAAGGTTGATGTTATATCATCTCGGCTTCTCTATTTCTATAATTTCCATACACCAAATTGAAGAGAAGTGCGAAGATAAAAGCTGGTTTTATTTTTAAAGACAATATTAATGAGAACTAACAGACACTTATGCCAAGTAATGTATAGTGGATGCTGTAACAAGTAATTATAGTGCGGCAAGTTATCTTTTCGGTCCACTTTTCTTTGTTAACAGTTATATTATACTTACCTCTTGCAACATTCGCCATGCTTTCGCTGGCAGTATTGTAAGTTAGTTCTCATAGTTCTCATAAATATATAAAAAGTGGTTACATGCAAAGAAATTAACGAAAAATACACAGAAAATCGAAACAAAAAATTAAAATAGCATAGATTCGCGATGGAGGAGCTGTACAAACTAAGCAAAAATAATTAGTAATGAACGAACGCATTGTAAAGTTAGGAAATTGCTGGTACCGTAATGTCCAATCTGTGGAAAACAACCACGAAAGCTTGGGAACGCCATTGTGTTTGATTGCTCAATTAAAGTTGAACTGTAATGAATTATGGTGAGAAGGAGTCTCACATGAAACTTATCAGATACTAATTAGACGCTTAGCGGAGTTAGTGAGGAAACTTGTTTTTTTCTAAATATGCGGAGAACCAATAATCGTATAGGAAAACTTTTTGAAAGCTCACTAGGAAGGCGCAGCCGACAATGCGATGTAATAGAAGGCATACAAACACAAGTAGAATGTTGTTTCTGAACACAAATATAAAAATCAGTAGGAATGATCTTGCATAAGAAGCCTCAAAAGCCTCATACAATAGAAGGTTTTGCCAATAATTATCGCAATTCACTGTAGAATACAAATATGAGGTGAAAATGGGTCACATCACGCGCTTGTTAGTGTACGTTATCTTTTAGGTCACGCTACTCCGCTCTATTGAATATGAGAGCAGATTGAGTAAGTATGTAACGCGCGGAAGTGTTATCTGTACCTTACCCGCTGATTGAGATGAGGTGGTTTAGTTTATCTATCTTGGTCAGGGAAATGTCGCTTTGTTGGGACGCTAGATTCACGAGACAAACTTTTCCATGTCTTCTGGAAAGGGTTATTTTATAGAATGTTTAGCAATGAGCTTCCAAATCACAATGCGTTTGCTTTAGACGAAAACTGAAGAAGAAAATTAGCAAACAGACTGTGAGGACTGAATTTCAGCTCTAAGCTAGCAAGGAAGTCAGTGGGGTGTGGTGGTGAGCATGACATGGGCCTAAACTTGTGAAATATACGCGAAGGAAATTCATGCAAAACTACAAGACATAACTATGCTTTACTGTGTGAACAAGTTTCCCTCAACTTGAAAAGCAAGTTGATCGGTAGCGGCTGCTTTAAGGTTACGTGATAACGACACGACAAAGAGTTGCGTTGACGGCACCTTCACAGTACCGGTGTCATGGCAAGTTTTCCAGCCAAATTCATCCATCAATTCTACGCGGGAACTCTTAGCACGCGTGTGCCGTGAATTTCACTTAGCCTCACCACTCACCCCTACTGCACTAAAGATGAAGGAGGAATCACACCGGAAGCGAAGAGCAGGGTCAGACTTCATTGGTGGTTCAATTCAATTCAAGGAGGTTATGGTGCGGATGCTTCTTGCGGGGATTATTTTTATTCCATTCATGACCACACTCTGGGCCCGAAATTACCGCAAACTGTTATGGTACGTCACGCTGAATTAGCGACGCCACGATCATCGATATAATTGTCACACGCATGCGGACTTGCACAGAAAACTCCGCTGTATTGCCATCTCCGTGCAACCGGCCTCAGGCTTGACCAACCTCCCGACTTTGATCACTGGATCAGTGGACTTTACAGCCGAGCAATATTAGACTTTCTGTGCGAAGCTAATCTGTATGTGTATTTCTGACACTATTAAAGTACTGTGTTTGCCTACGGGCGAGATTTAGAAATAACAAAAAGTCAAGATTTTATGTCCAGATGTAACCAGTAATTCATGAAAACGTTGATGAACCATCCGGGTCAACACCATGGTAAACACCAGAGTCATAAGCTTCATCTTCATTCATTGAATATTGTCACGGGATGCATTGGCGGCACTTATTTTTTCGTCGCAACACGTGAAGTAGTATAGTTTTATTTTAGGTGAAGAAGGGGAAAAATGTGTAACTATAAACGACGAAAGTGCTACCAAACAAGAAAATACAATGGCTGCATAAACAGAGCACAACATGTCTATAATGTGAAGAAAATCAGGAACAAATACGTGGTTACAATCACACATATTCTACGAGAGTACAGTATTCGAATCGCATAGTCGTCCGATGCTCCGGTGTCATGTAAAAAGTATGAGGCATCGTTTCTTGGTTAAGAAGTGCCGGCTACAAGGAATTGTGTTAGCCAAAATTGAATCACGTTAAGCTCAGCACAGCTGCTTTTCCATTTATCAAGCCTTGGCTCGTTACTTGTTTAGTTTATCCATGTTATGCGCCTGTTTGTCATACTATTTTGTGTTTACTGCACTTCTTGCGTGTGCTCAGTTAATGGTCTCTTTTATGTTTTTACACAATTCTATACTCCTAAACTCTACACGACCAAAATGTTGTTCACAATGTTCGAAACGCACAATGTTGGGCTACAATGTTGTAAACAAATTGTATAAAAGCATGGTGCACTGGTATAAAGTTTCAGTAATAAAGGGCTTCAAGGGAACACTTAAGGGAGTGTAAGATAAGCTTTTGAGCGTCGGAACACAACTGTTCTACACGAGAATCGCTTTATCGCCTTTTTGCTACATACTGCCGCCAGAAGAGAACGAGTTTTGTGGAATGAATGCACCAGTTATAAACCGCAAGACAAATAAACTCATTAGACTGTTACGTACTGAAAGCTCTGGTAATGTAGCTTAGTAGGAATGGCGTTTCGCTGCTAAGGTCAAGGCCACTGGTTCGAATCCTAGCCCATGGTTCCTACCTTTCAAAGGCGGCGACATGCGATAACACCCGTCTTCTTAGGCTTTAGTGCACATTAACAAAGCGCAAATTTCCAAAGTTGATTTGGAATACTCCCAACATGACTCGCTTGACAACCACGCTGTAGCTTTCAGCACGCAGAACTCCTGGAGTGATTCTATTTTGAAGCATTTATGCATCTATATAAAAGCCGACTCTTTATTAGATTTTGCTCTTGCTATGAGGTCGTTATCAAGCATTTGCCCCAGCACATCTTCAGCCACTTGTTTACACACATGCTATGCACAAATTGCTGCTTGGGCGGGCAGCCAGAAAACTTTGAAGGTTATTGCGAAGAAATAATACACAAATTTGTGAAGAAAACGACCAGAAGAAAATGGTTATCCGGAGGCAACCAAAAATTAATATAACTGGTTACAATATGCGTTCACCACATTGTCTGCGTTTGAAGCTTGAAGCATGCACTTGTAGAAGAAATCGGGAGCAATGTTGTTTTTAGGCCTACCAACATTCGCTCGAAGTTTCACAGAGATTCGTAACTGAGGAGACGAATTTGGCCATAATAATTACCAATTAAGGAGCATTATTTTTTAATACCTTAGCAGTGAGCTTTTCTGGGCCAAATAATAAGTGATATAAAAGTGAAGTGATCCTGCACGATCTTGACTATCTGAAAAAACTAATTACACCACGTATTGCGTGTGTTAAGGCTCGGTTATATGAAAAAAAAGAAAAACAGGAGGGGGCGGGGATTTAGTTAATACATGTGTACTATATATATGGTTAATATATCTCATATATATAGTTAATATCATATATATTGTTAATCCATCCCATATCCCATATCTATAATCCCATATATATAGTTAATATATGGGATTTAGTGAAATATGGATTTAGTTAATATATGTCTACGTCATAAGCCCTTGTTGTTGCTTACGCATGTGCTGTGGTGTTTTAGAGGAAATTTTATATTAGACTTGACGTCCAAGTCAAGCCTTTTTTTCGAGGGTTCGTCCTGCCTTTTTTTAATTCGTGCCACAGCGTACTGGAACGCATGCTATGCTCAACGTTAGGCGAATCAACGTATTGTTTAAAGTAGAAAAAAAAAACCCCAGTCATAAGTAACTTTCATCGACTATGCGCACGAAGTATCCAAACTGGCAAGCATGCACGCATCACTTATGTTTTGCGTGAAGTGGGTAGTTGAGTTTCATGTTCATTATTTACTCACCGATGTTTCTCGCAAGAACAGTGATTCGACACAAGTGGGTCTTCGATATACAAGCTCTGGCTGTGCTCGTGTGCACTGTAGGAATGCTGCACCTTCAGCACTTGACCTCAATTGGCGTAAAATGAAGCGATCCTGAAAACAATTTACCGGTAGCAAGCAGCTGACCGAATTTTCTTCCTATGGCTGAAGAGGTGATTGGAGATAACGCCGAACATGATGCTATCGCGGTCATGGTTGTACGCAAAGTAGCACACAGTTTGTAAGCAGCACTGTTCGCCCCATCTTGCAAAGAACACGGTAGTGATAAGAGTCGGTCAACATCCCTGGACCTCATTGTTCTTTAGCACATAAAAACAGGCGCTTGCGGCTGTAGCTCACGCTCAAACTTTGCCAGTAGGTCCTGAGCAACGGATTTTCAGCACGGTGACGCCATGGTGAAGCTCTGCATCTTCCTCACTATCGTCGCTACCGCTCTCGGTGGGTGCCGATTCTGTCATACTTGCTAGACGTAGCTGTGCTAATTTCTTGGGTGGATTCAAACAACCGTGCAATGAGTACCAGTGTTAGGAAGGTTTGGGGAAGCATACTCATCTGGCTTTCTTGCAGCTCTATTTCTAATAGAAGCAGTACAAGGCTGTGAGCGCCTTCATTGAAAGCTAAAAGTGTCAGTGAGTCTAAATAATCTAAAATCAGCACGTTATTGAGGATGAACGTATTGTCCAGAGTCTTCCAAAACACCAGAGGAATAAAATGACCTACTTTGAAAAAGAATATTATGTTTTTTTAGCGATAAGCATTCTTATATTATTACAACTGATACTAAACGAAGGTACACAGAGAAAAGTAATGTCTTCGCTTATTTCTGCTTTAGTCCTTGTATTCAAATTGACTCCTCTTGTTGAGGCGGTGAACTAACAGGCCAGGCATGACCTGATTTCAACGTAGCGTTTTGGACGTATTTGTACGTCATACTGTAGTTTTCATACTGTAACGTCTGTCCCGTCTCTATCTGTCCATGTTTTTTGTTGTTTTTTTTCGTGCACTTGGAAACTACTCATGTTAACGCTCCTTGATTTGCAACCTTTTACGAAATAAAAAGAGTGAAATATTGGCATTGAAGTCACAGTAAGAGCATAATGTCAGCTGTTGTAAAACAGATCTAATATTTGAACAGCTGACTTCACAATTGTGTATACTGCATAGACAATGTACCTGCATGATCATCGGCATTAAGCATTGGTTTCATTTCGCGACTAAGTGACATCTCCTATGGGATTAATCCACTTTGCTTACTCTATTGGCATGAATGAAAGTCGCAGTTATCAGCACTACATGCACATTGAATGAAAATGTTTACCCTGTCTAATTTCTTTTTTTTTTCTGAAAGTCATGGTAATATGTGCATATTACAGTTTTTATGTCAGAAGCCAGGCGAAACGTCCTCAGTGCGTTGAATTCAGATTATTATTATAGTGTTGTTCACTTCATAGTTGTTGAAATATTCAATTCAGTTATTGTTCATTCGTAGCCTGAAAGTTTTGAGAAAACGTAGAAATCCAAGTTGGGGCATTGTAAAGAAAGCATACGCAATACTACGGCACCACGGTATCCTGGCGTACCTAATATCACACACTTCAAAAAGACGCTTATGCGTACACTTGACACGTATGCATATTGTTTTTTTTTTCAGACAGTTCTTAAGGACGCAGTTGAAAAAAAAGTATACACTGGGGCTACATTTGGTAGTGTTAGATGTTTTGGTGCTGACGCGAAGAAGTTTGTAAAACGAGCACAGAATTTCAATTATACATGAATTCATCACGTCAGTGCAAAGTCAAGGGATATTAGCTAGTCGAGGTAGTTTTAATTTGTGCTCAATGTTTGTCCTTGTTCTCTTGTAGCTGTGAAAACCTCTTTACATGGCAATTTCAAGAATACAGCATACACGCTCGCACTCCAAGATAACTGCTTTTAAAAGGGTGGTTCCATCAATATTGTGGCTCCTGCATTATTTGCTGCAGGTGTTTATGGCTATACAAAGCATGACACACCCCGAAAAGTTCCTATATTATCGCTAAATAATGTAATATTGCCTTTTTATGTGAACAACTTTCGCCTTGGGGTTCTGAGCACCAAGTTGGGCAGTGACGTAGCCGAGTAGGTTGCTTGATCACGTGTGACCTTCGTGCAGAGTGTCGCGTGCTGTCACGCACGCGTTGCACGATAACTAGAGAAACAAAGACACTGACACCACCGTGGCTAGCTGCAGCAGCCACGAGTGATGTAGCAACCGCTGCTTTGTCGGTAGGTACGTTGTGGAGGTGTGAACGTCCCTCATGTCACTGCAGATCTGGTGTGATGTCAAAACAACTTTTGTTGCCCTTCCTGTAGATCTCCGTCAGTGTTGGCGCAGTAGCGATGGGTCTCGGTCGGGTGAATGAGAATTTAGGCGAGGAAGGAGCGTGGGAGCAACACAAACACAAAGCAAAGAGAAGGCTTACAGCACGAGCGCCTCCTTTTTGTTTTCTGTCTGTGTTACTTCCGCGCTCCCAGTTCGCTGAACAATCATTGAGAATTTAAGGACACATTGGTAGTCAATTCAAATATACTGAAAACGTTTGCTTTCTTCGACCCTTTAGATTGAGGGTCCTTGTTTACAGAGGAAACCCACAACAGTCTTGTCACATTTGATTGATAAAATGAGTTTGACGCCCCAAAACCACTATGTGATTATGAGAGACCCTGTAGTGTTGGGCTCCGAAAATTTCGGCCATCCGGGGTTTTTTAACGTGCACCCAAATCTAAGCACATGGGCCTACAGCACTTTCGCTTCCATCGAAAATGCAGCCGTCGCAATCGAGATTCGACCCTACGACCTGTGAGTCAGCAGCGTCAACGAGATTCGACCCTATCACCTGTGGGTCACCTTAGCCACAAGACGACCACGGCGGGGCAGGCTTGTTATAGCTTCCAAATTCCATGGCACCAACCCGTTAAAAGCCTGACGGTGTTTATTGACTTTGGTAATCCTAATGAAGTGTTGGCACCACTTCGCGGCGCCTGGAAATTACGTAAACCAGTAATCTCTTAACCGTGAAAAACAGCGCAAATACAAGGCACAAGAAAGACAACAGGACCACAGAAAACAGCGTACAGTCCTGTTGTCTTTCGTTGTTCTTGTTCAGTGTACCCACGCTGTTTTTTTTTTAACGATGAAGCCATACCCACTAGCTCGAAGTTTTACCTTTTTTGAGGTGGTTGTTTTTTCTTTTCACAATTACAGCTGCGAAAGACTTCGAGCCACAGTGCGATCAAGGGCCAGATGTCGGCCTCTGCAAGGGGTTTTTCCCGATGTGGTGGTTCAACACCAAAACGGGAAAATGTGAAGAGTTCGTCTACGGTGGTTGTGGCGGTAATGGTAACAGATACGAGACAAAGGAAGAGTGTGAAGAAACCTGCTCGGTCAAAACACGTGAGTCCTCGAAGAGAGCATAACGTTATCATTTAAACTAGGCCTTCCCGCCACTGTGACGCGTTATCATAATTTTCCAGTGCGCTGGAAAAATGTGCTAATGCATCGCAGTGCCAGTATGGCAGTGGGAGTGAGAAAGTAAGGCATTGTAGAAGTACCACATGCGTACTGATATTTTCAACGTGCTGAATTACTTGCTAGCTACCCCATTTTTAGTATCTATGCCACTTTGTTCAGAAACGGTTTACAGGATCACGCATATCTACCAATGAAGAAAACACGTGGGGTACTTCTAGAACACCTTTTTCAATGAGCTATAGGGGAGTGGGGTCTTCAGCACTAGAAATCATCAGGTGCAATAAATAAACTGTGTTGATGTAAAAATATTAGAGCATGATCATTTTACAGCTAAAGCAGCGTATGAAATAGGAACGAGTCGTTAGGTAATATAACGCTTTTTGTATAGAGTACAAATAATCCCGAACTAAGTGTAGAACGGGGAGACGATTTGATATCGTTGCAACCGAACGTGAGATCCGAAAACATCTCGAAGCACACATTTTCTCTGCGTACTTATACGAGCATTTTTTAATAAATCCTCCACGTTATGCAAGAGTATGTTATAGTTCCAGGATTTGGGCTAAAGCAAGGGAATCACCATTGAGAAGGGTAACGAGTGAGGTACATGAGGTTAAGGGATACAACTTGCAAGATTACAATGCGCTGAGCATGACCAACACATGCATTGCAAATGAAGCCTGTAAGTAGATAGTATACAAGAGAATTGAAGACGCTTTTGCGGAAGATTCTACGTAATTTCGATGACCTGCGCTCTCAATAGCGTGCTCACATTGCACAGTACCGGGACTTCTCGATTTGTTCTCCACCGAAATTCAGAGCGACGTGATTGAGATTGCATCAGTCCTCATGATAATCATCAGAGAATCGTGACTGCTTAGCTTCTGATGTGACAGTCAGCCACAAGAACTGCTCAGATAATTGCTGAACCCTGTCTCTGTAATTAGCGTGAAATATTATCAGATTTCTAAGGGCGTTTGCTCGGGCCGCAGCTGCAATCAGAATAAAAGCGCCAATTACCAATTTCTCGTTATACTATTTGGTGGTATATCGCTTTGAGGGCAGCGGCACTGAAATGAATCATTCTGGAGAAACATTGACACAGTTAAGTTCCTGTGTGGTGTGGTTTGTTTGACCGGGTTGCTCAAATTTCGCGCTGTTATTTTGAAGATCATCTGAAAACTAATATCCACCCAGCTCCACCCAAGAAAGCACATTTTGGATGTGAAGATTCGTTTGTTTGCCCAAACATTTTTGCGTCATGGCACAGATATTTTCTTGTGTGTGGGCGTAACTAAGCCTTACGCACATATACATCACCTACACATAATAATAATTAAGGTTTAACATCCGACAAAGAGATGTAGTTACGAGAGACACCGTAGTGCAAGGCGCCGAAAATTTTGACTGCCTTTGATTCTAGAGCGTGCATCTATATCTAAGCAATGAAAGTTAGTGTTTTCGCCTCCATCGAAAATGCGGCTGTCTCGGATGGATTTCGATCCGGCACCAACGTGTCAAGTACTGTAGCCACTGTAGAGCACCACGGTGGGCCAACTTGCTGCATATATGCAATGGAGTAAGAAATGGCACAGCGTAAAACACCCACCCACGTAAATACAATTACAGAAGGGGTGTATTTTGGAAGCCCGTTGATGCATTGAAGGCGCACCCTTACAGCCCTCTATGGGCTGAAAGAAGAACTATACGCACTACTGTGAAAAAAAGCTTCCCCACCACCCCGAAGGGTATCATGAAGAAATGCGAATGCGTTGAGTACCGTTGATAATGGCATTTTGCACGTGAGAGTCCAGCGTTAGAATAATAATATTTTCTTTTTTTTCTTACACCTTGCAGTCAATAGGGCCGTTCGCCGCACGTGTCATTTTTCTGTCACGAGAAGCGTGATACGCGTTTCCAGCTCTAGTAGCTAGCACGCACGGTTAAAAAAAAAACGCTTCACAAACTCTGGCAGCACAAACGCTGCAAACGCATTTCAAGCGCACTGCATTTAGGCAGTGGCGAGTCCCGCTCAAGTCAAGGAGGTGAGAACTTCGATTGCTAGGGGCGAGGATAAGCCTGCGCCCGCAGCTGTTGCTGACAACTGCCGGCGCCGAAGCGTAACATGGTGGGGGCTCCGGTAGCTAGGAAGAGTGACCCCGAAGCTGTTGCCATGGGAGAGGGCAGTGGACGGATCACGACGGATGCCTGACGTAGCCCGACTGAACAAATGCGTTCGCATTTAAAAGTCTGCCATTGCACATTTCGTGCACGTTGCACATTTCGTGCGTGCTTTGGTGTAGACGTACGTATAGCAAATGTGGGTCTTATGGTAATCATTGGGGTCATAGGGTCATATCGTAGAGAGCATGTGGGTCATATGGCTAACTATAAAGTGTAGACATGTGACTAATGATGTGGCAAGTACATATATTTTACACACAGTCACACGAAATACACGTGCATGGATGAAAACTTACCGCAATACTGAGATAAAATTTAATTGTCTTTAAATAAATATATGGTAACAAAGGCTATTACATCTTCTTAGGGTGCGTATGGGGCCGGAGAGTTGTCTGTATATGAAAAATTGGTGGCTGTAATGAGATGCCTGAATTGTGGCGTTTCATTTATAGTGACCTCCAGGAAAGAAGAAACTGCAGCGGCTTCGACTGTAGCAACGGAAGACTTTCACTCAGGTAAGCTTCAACTAATATGCCTAATAACCGTGTAAAAAGTTATTTCATATATGTCCAGCCAGAGCCTAAAGCTATTTTTTAATCTCTGGCCAAGCTTTGTTTTGTATTGCAGCAATACATACGGGGCATTCCGCTTGTATGCTGAAAGAAGTCATGCCTCGCATGTTAGTCCGCCGCTCCAGAAGAAAGGGGGCACGTTTTGGGGTTTATGCAGGAACGATGCACTTATTTTCTTCACATTAGCTACTTTGGTACTGCCAGCGTTATGCGATGTGCACCTGCGTATGCAGTTTAAACTTTAGAAGTATCTGGTTTGAAAGAGAACACTTGAAAGTGTAATGTATGACATTTGGCTTGAGTGATAACGCGAAGTATGCATCAAATAGTTTTGTTAACGCGATTCGTTAGCGCTGCAGCATTAACCGAATAAATATTGAGGGGCACTTTGGAGACTCCGAAGTGTGTTTGGCAAAAGCCACGTGAATGAATATGGCAATTCCGTTTTTGTCGTTTTCTCTTTCCTTTTTTTCTCTGTATTTGTTTTTTAGCTGCTACAGGGTCTCAGCAATAATTGGATTGATGAAAGAATCTAAAAGGCAGAAGCCACAGCTTTGGCGGCGCAACTGTTGCTATGTGCCGTGTGCCATCACGTGATTGATGGGAGGGTGTGGGGGGAAATGCCACAACTAGGACTATTCCGGAGTACGGATAGACGAATGGGCGCGAGTATAATACACAAAAGGCTTTCGCCTCAATAAACGAGCAGGAACTATGGAAGCTATGGACAGCGTCCTTACTGCAAAGTTAGGGTGGTCATAAGGTTCACAGCTTTTCTACAAGCTACTGGATTGGATGCTCGCATGTAGCTCTGCGCTAACCTGACGGAGCTACATATAGTCACCTCTTTACCTCTCCATTGCCATAAATTACTCTTCTTCCCCATTCTCCTTTCACAGTGTAGACCAGCAGGCTTCGAACCCGCGACCTGCGGGTCAGCAGCCGGACTACCTTACCACTAGACCACAGCGGCGGGGCTAGGAGTCGATGTCATGCGAGAAAGTAGGTGAGGCTATAGAGGGAACTCGACACGCGTCACGTTTCCCTTCGCGGTTTTAGCCCTCTCGTGGTGTATTCCTTAACAGCAAAAGCTGTGTATAGCTTGCCTAGGCGAAACGAAAACCGTTCGCCACGCGAAACGCTAATTGCCTCTATTGGCTACTCCGCCAGTTACGTCGTTCTCTACGTCGCAAGAAACCGCGCGTGTTATTGGATGCCACTGTGCAACGTCGTTCATCGCCTTGCTTCGCAGCCGTGAAGCCAAGCCCGCACGCAGAAGTTTCGATAGACTAGCTTTAAAACTTAGCCACGAAGCTTAAGTGTGTTGGATGATTATTAGAGGTAACGAAGCACGAAATAGGACACGGACAAGGAAGGACGGCGCACCCACAGTGCTCAGTGTGTGTGCGTCATACTTCTTTGTCTATCTCTCATTTTGCGTAGTGTTACCTCCATTAGAATTGAAAATAGCAATAAAAAACAAAGAAAAGAGTACAGTGCCATCTCTGAATGGAGGTCACCTCTACAGCACTGCACATTAGCTGGGAAGCAGGACAGAAAGCAGTGTTGAAGAGAAGTGCAAGAGAGAGGGGGGAAACGATAGATGTTCACAAACGTCACGTGAAGGGCTCACCAGTGCGTGAAAAGTCGGCATCGCAGGAACGTTCAACATAGAACTTCCACGTGGGGTGGGCACGGATCGTGCAAATGTCCGAACAGCAGACAACTTTACAAGATCAGCGCCAACAGCTTATCACTGAAAGAATGGCTAGTCGCCGGGCCGATCCAGCAGTCCGGGCGCAAGAATAGGCTCACGTGGTAAAGCTCAAACATAATCTGCGTATCAAGGATCCGACAGCCTTCTGAGCTGATGAAAGCGACAACTGCGAGCCGCAAAGCGTCGTTGTACTCAGAGGGGCGTCAATTAAGCAATGATGGAAATGTGTTCGCCGGAAACGACGCCCGTTCTCGGCGGGAGTTTCTCAAGCGGCTTCGGCTGCATCGTCTGCAACCGCCTGTGGCCACAAGTATCTGCTCTGCTGGGTAGCAATCTGTAGGAAGCGCTTGGTCGGAAATTTTTTTGTTAACGCTTTAAAATTTCGTGTGATTGTGACCTCAGTCCACGCTTAGCGTCCAATCGGCATTGCTCTTCTGGCTGTTGCACCGCTTTCTCTAATTATGCTCTTCAATTGCAAAAGGAACCGCCAGAGTGACACTAGCAATGGCGTGTCACCGGAGCCAATCTCAGAGGCCACGAGTAATGCATAAAGACAATATCGAGCGAGAAGTGGAAGCGTTTCGGTAGACTCAGTGTAGTGGAGACTTTTGGTGCAATACTGTGGCGAACTCTATGGCAAGCGAAATGTGGCGTGCATTGTAATTTGATTAGGATCTGTGAAAACGATCACAGTTTTAGTTTTAAGAATGTTTGAGTGAGCATTGCGACCAGGAGAGCGATCAGTTACGCATTTTACCTTCTGTAAGGTTAATGCTGCGTTTATGAATCTAGCAATGGTACTTTCTGAGGCGTTGCGACAAATGGACGATCGGCCACTCTCTGTGCAGGTGTTGCTGAAGCACCGTCCGCGTCTTTCGTCGGCTCACAAGGTAGCCAAACCCCTCTTGCGCTTTCTAAGGACTACGGACCAATGTGAACGCCTTTGATTTTGC